GAAGAGTATTTGAAAAGCTTCCCGCACAGACGGTTCTGATGCTTCCCAAGCCTTGTTCATAGCGTCCGCTGCTTCGTTGAAATCATCCATGTACTTCTGCATGCTCATGTCTTCCAATAATAGATGTGGTGTTCTTAGGTAAGATCGCAACATGCTGGACAAGCTGTGACGAGACTCAAACAGGAGCAGCACGAGGATAGCAACGAGTAACACCCTAATGGTTCCAACTTGTTTCTCACTGGACTTCCGGGAACCGAAAACTCCGCGTCTTCTAGCAAATCCCTTGTTGTTTCTTCCGTTGTCCGGGCCAAGCTGTGCTGCCCTATCTCCCCCCAGTTGGGGTTTTGTCTCCTGCAACAGCACGGGACCTACTTCGTGCCGCTGATTCTCCATTTTCTAAATCATAAGGAAATAAGTGGCAACAATGCATGTAGTCATCCTCTGGGAGCAGTGCTGAACACTTAAGAACACGACGATCTGCCGATGCACAGCGGGACCGAGACGGCTCTGGATGGCAGGGTGACGGTGGCGTCCGAATAAATTGTCACCCAAATGAGTTAGTGTAACAAAAGCCGAAATAATAATAATGTCAACGGAAGCACTAAAAATATGCTGCTGTCATTCATACTGGAATGCCTCCTGTCTGTGAAGTTGGCGCACGGCGGAGACGGCGGATCGGGCACGACTGCTCTGAGTTGCCGCCAACCCCTATAATGGAAGGACTCACAAAAAAACATGTTCGGATTAATCTTCTTGGAGTCATTTGTATATTCGCAACCTTGCTTCACAAGCCTTTGAGACGTGTTGGACGTGGATGGATGCAATATTATTGTAACCTGTGGATTCCCCAGTTTGCACTCAACCGTGCTCTGGAACACGAAAAGGAAGAACGCATGCCCCTAGAGTCCTGTAATCTCTAAATGAAAGCTAGAAGGCCAACCGAGTGATCCGAGCTGCGTAAGAGCCCGACATTCTACATAGTGTCTGGCGTAACGATCGCCTGCTTTGGACAATCTGAAACAAACACCTGCGGTACATATACCTCTATAGGCTGGTGTCAACAAAGAAAAGGCAGTAGTGGATTCAGTTACTGGTGAAATTGGCTGCTGCTTTATCCCCAAGTCCGGCTAATCATGAATCAAAAGCAAAGAACTGTCTAAGTATCTGCTGGATGCATGCCCGCCCCCCTTTTGAGGCAATATCCCGCAAAACCAGTTATATGCAGCAGTTGTATCAAGTTTTCTTCTAGAACACCGATAGCCGCGAGCGCTCATACCGCTGGTGCAGACCACCAGTAGAAGTGATATCACCTGCAAAACGAATAGCGAGTAGACTATAGGAGGCATAATGCACTCATTACCAAATCGTCGAATGGTATGCCATCCTTGAGAAATCCCTGAAGTTGATCCCGTTTGCTGCGCATCTCCCGTTCTAATCTGTAGGCATTTTCTTCCTCTTGTTGCTTCGTAGCCTCCAGTACTCCTTTGGGTGTCCAGTTATCCGCAATCCGGTGCATCTTCCGTATCCGTGCATAATGCGTACTGCCTTCAGATTCACCAAATATTTGGGCAGCTGCTCGTGCAAAAGATCCAGTCCTAAATGCTTCTCCACTGTATGGAATTTGATGTTTGGCAGTGGAAGGAATGGCCTTCAAGGTATCTTCTTGTCCAGAGGGTTGAAGAAAGTGCTCGAAGTAGTATCGAGCCACCAAGTTGCAGTCGTTATGTTTGTTCTCAACAGACAACAGATATATTAGCTTGTCAGCTAACATTTCATCTACTTTCTGCGTGCCTTCACCGCCAGATAATCCCACAGATTTCAAGAAGTGAGACGCCTGCAAGCCGTCATCTACCCTTTCCTCGAGCACTTCAAGCGGGGGGTAAGTATAAGGCTCGTCGTGGCCAGGAACAGGAACTGGCACATCGTACTCCTTATTCATGTAGACGAACCACTTCAATTCTTCGAGACGAAGTGTGACTGTACGGCAAATACTCCGCAGCAGCTGCAGGTGCCGTGCAGAGTCCCCCCTCCGCTTCACAGAAGACTCAGATAGAACTCCAAATTCTCGCATCTTGGCCACATGGTTATTGATAATTGCCAACGGGTCTTCTGTGAGTGGTTGACCGTCCTCGAGTGACGGGGTGAAGAGTATTTGAAAAGCTTCCCGCACAGACGGTTCTGATGCTTCCCAAGCCTTGTTCATAGCGTCCGCTGCTTCGTTGAAATCATCCATGTA